AAGTCCTTCTGTATATGTGTTGTTTTTAATTGGTTAATAAAGAAGCTGCTTTTGGCCAGTAGCTTAACAGAATATAGCCATGCTGGAAGATCTGTCTGTCTGTCTGTCTGTCTCTCTTTCTATCTATCTATCTATCTATCTATCTATCTATCTATCTATCTATCTATCTATCTATCTATAGAGTAGGTGGAGTCAGGGAGAAGCCACGTAGCCACCACAGGAGACAGACGCCTCCACTGGAACCCGCCAAAACTTAGCCAGTAGGCCACGACTTTGTGGTGATGCACAGATTAATGGAGATGGGTTAGTTTAGGATATAACAGCTATCTAGAAATACACTTAAGCTATTGGCCAAACAGTATTGCAAATAATACAGTTTCTGTGTGATTATTTCGGTTCTGGGCAGCCGGGAATGAACAAGCAACCTCCCCCAATAGACCCTCTATCCTGTTACAATTTATAGCTTGATATCCCCTTAACAACAGCCTTTCTCCCAGGAAGACTCCAAGCTCTGACACTCCCTTTGTTTCTCAGAAAAGTAACCCAGTGCCTGACATATGGCAGATACTTGGTAGTCACTTACCCCAAAGAGCTTCCTAGCCTGGGCTGTAATTTATAACTGCCTGTAGGATACATTTACCAAGATATTCTCTCTCTCTCTCTCTCTCTCTCTCTCTCTCTCTCTCTCTGCATCCTGGCACCCCTGTGCTAGTCGAGAGCATCAGCTGCTCCGTCCTCTTGTTTTTCCTTGTCATCCTGAGACAGGATCTGTTACTGAACTTGGAGCTTGCTGGATTTTTGGCTAGGCTGGCTAGCCAAGCAAGCCGAGGTGGTCAGAGGATCATACAGCCGCGTTTGGCTTTTGTATAGGTGCTGGGCAGCCAAATTCAGGTCCACAAGCTTCTGTATGGAACAAGTGCTCGTACCCACTGAGCCATCTTGCCAATCTCTTATTTGTTAATTAAGAAATTAAACACATCCACATATAAATTTTGTAGAGTAAATGTGTCTATTTTAAGGAGATTTCTTTGAGTTTAATAAAAGCCCACATGTATGTAACTACCAACCAAATAAATAGTTCCATCACTTCCCAAACTTGATCAAGCCATTTGCCATTTCCGTCCCCCTTCCATTTCCATGTAAACTAGCTGCATGCAGGCACTGATTTAGATTGTATCATTTTATATTAGTTTTCACCTTTTTAGAATTTTACATACGTTACATAATATAATACGTACTTTATTATATATAGCTTTTTCTGTTTGTTTTGCTGTTGCTTTTTCCGAGACAGGGCTTTTCGGTGTAACAGGCCTAGACGCCCTGGAACTCCCTTTGTACTTGTAGACCAGGCTGGCCTTGAGTCCACAGATATTGCCTGCCTCTGGTTCCCGAGTGCTGGGATTAAAGGTGCACGCTGGCTTGTATATGCTTTTTATTTTATTTATTATTTTTTTAACGGATATGATTTTTGAGATACATTTATTTGTTACCATGCTTTAGTAGTTTATTTCCTTTTACCGTTCAGTTCTAGTCCATCATTTCTATAGGCTACATTTTAATCTGCTGATTAATATTTAGTTCTTTTAATCTTTTGACTAATATTAACAAAACTGCCAATGATATTGACAAATAACTTATACCTTTTGTGTGTGTGTGTGTGTGTGTGTGTGTGTGTATACCACGTAGTGTAATGGTTGGATCATTAGGGCAGACATACAGGGAAGCTTCAAATTATTTTGTATAGTGGTTTCAACATTTTACTTTCTTGTCAGCAATGCATGAGTTCCTGTTACTCAGTATCTTCAATAACACAGGATTATCAGCTTTTTTTTTTCTCCAATGGCTAGGTGGTGGTATTTCATACTCATTTTAAAATGAACATGCCTGGATTTCTGAATCGCAGTCATATCTTTCTTACCAGCTGCCACTGTAGGAATTTGTGGTTAAAAAATGTAACAAAAAAGTTAGGAATTAAAATAACAAACTATTAATCGATCCATTTTCATCCTCTTCGCGGTAAGGGCTATCTTACTCTTTGCTGTGTTTCTGGTATCTAGCATGTGTCTGGTGAATATCTGCTGTTATGCAGTAAACTATCCTGAATTATTCATCCCCAGTGGGCAGGTGGTCCTGAATTATATAAGAAAGCACAGTCAGTAAGCCACGGAAACCAAGCCGATAAGCAGCATTTTTCCACCTGACCTTTGCTGAGCTCAGTTCCTGTCCTCGCTGACCCCAATGATAAGATTGCTATCCTGACGTGTAAGCCAAATCAACCCTCAAATCTTATGCTGGTTGGTTGTCAGCTTGTCACAAGGCAGAGTCATCTAGGAGGAAGGAACCTCAACTGAGAAAATGTCTCCATCAGATTGGCCTGTGGGCAAGTCTGTAAGGCATTTTCTTGATGAAAGATTAATGTGGGAGGGCCCAGCCCACTGTGGTTGGTGCCATCCCTGGTAGGTGGTCCTGGGTTGTGTGAAAGAGTCAGCAGACCAAGCCAGTACACAGCCTTCCTCTGCAGCTTTAACTTCAGCTGCTGGCTCCAGGTTTCTGTCCTGCTTGAGGTCCTGCTTTGGCTTCCCTCAAAGATGGACTGTAATCCGGAAACGTGAGCCAGACCAGCGGTTTCCTCCCTAAGTGACTTTTTGTCAAGGTGTTTCTAGCAGCAATAGAAAAGTAACTGGAACACAGAGCTAAATGAACTCAAAGCTGGCAGTTAAGTCGTGTGGACCCTGGTAGTTTTCAATTGGCAAAGCTAGTGAGAGGGTCCGCCGTTCAAAAGGCTGCAGTGTCTTTGGAAATAAGAAGATACATAGATCACAACACAGAAAAGCATATAAATGCTTTTTCAGGGTGGAATTCTTAAAAGACCAGCCATATTTTAAAAATACATATATCATAAATAATCTAGTGCGAATATCTCTGAAAAAGCAACATGAAACCGAGTAGGTCAGCTTTCTATAATTTTTCAAAAAGTAGTTGGGAAACCCGCAAAGTTGATGAGGTATTTTCTTGGATGTCTCAATCAGAAACCAAATTTTTCCACGGGAGGTGGCAGAAAATGGGTTTCATGCATGCTTCTGGAATGCAAGAATGAAGGAGGAGTGGAGGCTCAAAGTCCTCCTCAAGAATGCAGGAATCAAGTCAGCACAAACGGAGAGTAGAGCGGCAGGAATTAGGCACCGGCTGTAACTAGCAGGCCTTGCTGGTAATCCTGAGGTAGAAACAAAAGTCGAATTTCCTCCCTCCTCAGTTAAGAGGCCCTTCGATAGAGAAGAGATGGTTATGGGTCCCTTCCTTTCTCCACTTGGGCAAAGGGCCCTGTGCAGTTAGAAGGACTGAAGAGACAACTAAAAAGGGGTCAGAGCAAATTCTGCCTTGGTCACTATGCATGCTCACCTTTCAGTCTTCTCCAGATTTGAGCTGTGGGAGCACAGGGCTTCCCGCTGCTCGGTGGGGAATCGGAGGAGACTCTTAAAACAGTCCATTGTTACCGTATTTGGTGTAGACCGGATCAACAACCGTTCGTGAAGGAGTGTCTGGTTTATTCTGAGATCGTGACTGGTGATCAACAGGAAGGAATAGAAGGTTCGAGTGTCTGGCTACAGTAATAGAAACGTGTCAGGGGCAAAGGAAGAGTCATGTTCCTCACTCCGAAAGCTATTACTTGGGTTGCAGTCTCCCTTTTGTATGGAGTAGGGGGCTGTGGAAGAAACACAGGAGCCAGGTGCAGGAGGCTCATTAGGCCTCCTGGACCAGTCCCTTCTGTACTTCTTCAGCCCAGGTTAGGCCCCAAGGCACATTTGGCCGAAGCAGAACTTGCCCAGAATTGCATCTTTGCCAGCTCCTTTCCCGGAGCATCTTTTAGAAGATATTGACGATCTGTCACCCATGCTTTTGGTAGCACCAAGAAGAGGGTGATGCTTACATCTCAGATAAGCCCGGGTCACTGAAGATGCTCTCAAGACGTGGAGTCCGCCAACGTGTGAGCAGACGCAGGACACAAGGGGGATGTCGGAAAGCCAGACTCGGCTCCAGCGCTACCCCAGGCTCAAGGTACGCTGCAGGGCGGTACTTCCTGACCCCGGAAGGGAAAGTTGTTTTGGGGAAGGGGAGCGAAAAGAAGAGGTACAGTGAGTAAAACTAAAACTCGGAAGTTGTTGGCTCGCTCTCTGGCCTTCGGTCCCTGTCCTCCTCTGGTTCTTTTTAGAGCACGGTTCCCTCCAGAGTCCCACGCTGTTCAAATTGCCGCTAGGAACGGACCGCAGGAACCCCGGTTCCCCCCGACCCTCCCGGGAACCGGGTCTCCAGGAAAACCCGGAGCGGAGCATCCCCCGGCTGGGACACGCCCTCCGCGTGCGGCTTTGTGCGCATGCCCAGTGCGCGGCAGCCGGGAGTAGGAAGCGGAGCGCAGCGGTGGGGGAGGTGGGAGGGGACGCTTCGCCGTAACGAAGGCGCGGGACGCGGCAAGGGTTCCCGTGGCTTCCTCCGGGCGTTCGGGACCGTGGAGCCCTTGCGAGGCGCGAGCGAACCTGGGGCCAGCAACGAGCGCGGAGCAGCGGGGCGGCCGGGCGGAGCGGGCTCCGAGCCCCGG